CTTAGTATTCATGCAGGATTTGCATCAAAATACATTCCTCACTTCTGACTTGTAGGTCAAATTTTACAACCATTTTTAAACCAAATGTTTAAAACTCGAAAAAAGTAAAACTTGTTTAGCTGATATACTACTATTACTAGTACTACTGGTAATAAATATACTTAAACTATTAAACCTGAATATAAATGATCACGACGTTTTAAGTAAGTGTAAATTAAATAAATTTTAAGATAGTACTGATACTAGTAGTACTCCTATCCCACTAACGTTACGTACTACTGTAGCCTGTAGGCCTAGTACTATTTTAAAACAGGAATTCAGATTACATATATTAATTTGATATCCAAATATTTGTACTATAGAAAAAACATAATAATCATCAACTTATTACATAATATACCACAATACTAAGTTCTATATCATTGCTTTTGTGATTTAAGATTTCATTATTTTAGTTTTAATAAAAGAAATCATACCTAACGTTTTTCCGACGGTCCTTTGCTTAGGCCTAACTCAGTTACTTAATAACAAAATAGAGGAACTTTCACTGCGTACAACTCTTACTGGCTTGACCATTTCATATCTAATATTTTTGTTTGTTTGTTTCGTTTTTTCATAAACAAATCAGGGAGACCTTTTAGATTAACCTAACCACCTGTATTAAAACTCCACTCGCGCTCTCAATTTAATTAACAGTTTTAATTTTTCTAGTGACTCTTCTGCTATTCTTGTGGTATATAAATATACCTTCATCTTTTAAATATAGAGTTATTTTGAATTTATATTTATTTGGCACTTGATGGAGTACCCGTCGTTTGGACGAGTGAAATAAAAACTCGCTTGTAACAAAGGATAGGAAATCGTGCTTCTATTTTTTTCTTGAGATAATGAACATTAGAATAATGAACATTTATTAAACAATAAAAAATACATAAAGGTACCAATACTGAAAAGAAAGACATACTGTTTTCAAAAATTATATCAATATGAAATTAGATGGGGGCCAACCCCCTCATGACCTTCCTCGTGTCATCCTGTATCACTGTGTAAAGTTGTACTGTTTGTTTGTTTTGAATTTCACGCAAAGTTACACAAGGGCTATCTGCGACAGCCGTCCCTAATTTAGCAGTGTAAGACTAGAGGGAAGGCAATTAGTCATCACCATCCACCGCCAACTCTTGGGCTATTCTTTTACCAACGAATAGTGAGAACTGACTGTCACGTTATAACGCCCCCACGGTTGAAAAGAGGCGAGCATGTTTGGTGGGACGGGGATTCGAACCAGCGACCCGCAGATTGCGAGTCGAGCACCCTAACTACCTGGCCATGCCGGGCTAAGTTGAACTGATTTGGTAGTTTTCCGAAATTATATATGAAATTAGATAGAGGTCAAACCCGCCCCCTCCTTGCGTCATCTTTATCACTGTGTTAAGTTTGGTGCTGACTGATCAAGAAATGTGGAAACGTATAGGAGCAAATACACATAAACACACATATTAACTTTTTTTCTTTTATAGATAGCTGGAGTACCCGTTGGACGAGCGAAATAAAAAACTCGTTTGGAACAAAGGATAGGAAATTGTGCTTCCATTTATTTTCTTACGCAATTAACATTAAAAGTGCAATAAAAAATGTAAAGCTACCAATAATGAAGAGAAAGACATACTGTTTTCAAGAATTATATCAAGATGAAATTAGATAGAGGATCTAATCCCCCCCCTCCCTTATGACCTTTCTCATATCACCCTGTATCAAGTTTGGTACTGATTGATCAAGAAATGTGAAAACATATAGGAACAGATATGAAATGATAGATATACGATCGTGTATTTTTTCCCGGACACAATTTGCTTTATTTTTTGGTATATGTGCGAGTTTCGCATTAATAGATGACTGTTACGTTTATTTCGTTCCAGCTATCTTTGTTTTTTGGTCATCTTCTGGAAATACAGGCTTGAAAACATTAAAATAAAGCCAACTGGAATATCGTCTTGGTTCAACCAAAATAGAGTAAAATGTTGTGGTATTTTCAGGTGAATTAAACTGATTTACTCAGAGGTCCGCTGTATAGCAAGAAGATCAACAAGATTATTTACAAAACAATGTTGAATTTAACTAAAAGTGGTTTTAAGCAAAGAAGTTAACATGATGTGTAAAACAAAATGATATCATTTCTTATTCAGATGTAAGACAGTAACACAGTGTGTGTGTTCTTGCTTTCTGATTGCTGGTTGCTGGATGACCACTTTCTACTGGATTCGTGAACTGTTCAATTGGTTTTCTTCCGTCAAGCTAAGTTCCCGTCAACCAAGTCACCTAAGATCCTGTGCATGAGTGTTTTCCCACTGAAAATCTATATCAGAATGCTTAAATCTAACATTTCTTACTTAATGGGAAAAATTTTATTTGTTCATAATTACTAACACTACCCAATGCTTGATCATTCTCATTTCACTTGGGAGGGGGGGGCATAATCTCGAGATTTCTTCTGTGCTACCATCATTCTCATTTCACTTGGAGGGGGGGGGCATAATCTCGAGATTTCTTTTGTGCTACCATTGCAAGGCACTGGCAATGAACGTGCAGCATTAGAGCCATTATGAGGGGGGGGGGGGATCAACATTGTTCACTGGATTACCCACAATCCAGGGGAGGCAAGGAGCCTCTTCTTTGGCAACCATCGAGACACCACCTGCCAAATAGCCCCAAGAACAGGCCCAGAAAAAGCCAAGATTGGGGGCTCCCAGCAAAATCCCCTATAGTGATTGATAATCGTCTGCTTTACAACAGATCCCAGTATGCAAATCAAATGACACCGCCAAGAGATGACTGCCATGTGGATTGAAGCTTGGGCCTTCTTCAACAGAAAGGAGAACCAGTTTTAGTAGAGAGCTATGTCTCCATTGCAGTTCGAGGAAGATGTTTCCACCTGAGAGTTAAGCTGGCCAAAATAAGGAGGATCGTACTTAAACCTTAGGAAATAGTTGATATCATATACCACACTGTTTAAAATTATTGTTTCTTACCTAAAATGTAATGTCAGATTTACATAGAGCAACTAATGCTACCCATATGTCTAGTCATTCAAACACAATGGAGATTGTAACTTCAAGATACTATCTGCACTTTTATTGGAGGACATAGCTGTCTAAATTCTTGAACAACTTGCAGAAGTACAATGATACACCCATGGACACAACAGTTGTCATCTTCTGAGATTGACTAAAGAATAAAAGCAGCTAACATTAAATCACCAACTTTCTTCGAGATACAAGTTTTGTAACAGTTAAGTGTGGCTTCCAACATTTCATCATGCTGTTGCTATTTGCTGCGTCAGGCAATACACTTATTATTTGCAATTTCATGCATCTTTAACTGCACCTTGTACTGAAATAATGTTATTGAAATATTTAGAAAATTGAGTGCAGTCTGCGTGATTCAAATATTCCTTCACAACCAAATAATATACTTGATACAATATGCTTACATTCGTTATGATATCTAAGCTACTTTTTGTGAAATTCATTTACTATTGATAATTTCGCCCACTCATACATATTTCATTTTTATCCAATTGAGATATCTTGTGATACTCTTACCAAAAACATCAGGTGAAACTTTATGTTCTCTCAGACTTAGTGCGAGTTTACCATTACTCTTATCTTTTCATAAACATTCACTACCTGCCAAATACTTCAACGTCAAAATTGAAACATTTTCTCACAAGTATTTATTAAATTAACAGGTATATCGTTGTTGCAAATTATACATCATAGGTTAGTAAATAGAGTTAACCTCACATCACAAGGCTTCAATATCCAGATCAAATCCTTTGTTTTCATTCACAAGATGTTTCATATTTGTGTAATTTGCCCATGTATGGTATTCAACACTCATGAATGACTGTATGCAATGTTCAAATACATGTGTCAGATCACACACATATATGTATATTACCATACGAGTCCCTATAGCACAGTGGATAGAGCGTTGGATTTCTAATCCAAAGGTACCGGGTTTGTTCCCCAGCAGGGATGCCACCACCATTGCCTGGTCCCAAGTCCAGGATGAGAAAGGAGGAGGGTTGGGTGCGGGTCTACCAACTCCGCCCCGTAAAACCAACCTGCTAAAAAATTACTGCAACAACTTCCGTTGGCGAGGTGTTGTTGGGGCTCTATGCTCCAGTGGGAGGCTACAGGGATTATTATTATTATATTATATATTACCATATACATATATTATCATTATATGTTGTCACATACACTAATACCTAAATATAAACTACCTCCAGCTCCCACATAAATCACTTCATTAACATTCTCATGTTATATTATGCAGGCATGTCTCGTTAGCCATAACAGAGTAATGTGATGCGATCTAGGAGCCATCAAACTCAAATCAATTTTGTT